TTAAATTTAACTTGTTTTCATTGGCTAGCTATACGATGTTATTTTCATTTATGTTGTTATTTTCATGTAGATACATGTTTTTATTTGGTTTTGGTTGGGTGGCCGTACAAGCTCGTTCGAGCTTCTGTGTCTCCATACTTTTTGCTGAATAAATTGAATTGAATTGAAGTGCAATCATTGATGAAAATCACAGCTTGTTCGACTTATCAAGTTTCTTTAGTTCATAACCAAAATTTAATTTTAAGCATATACATATATATATATATATATATACATATATATATACATATATATATATATATATATATATATATATATATACATTTTTTACACTTTGTAATGCAGTTACTGGAACCGAAAAGATGTCTTCAACAAAAGAAATTAAAGTTAGAGAAACGGTAACCAAAAAATTATGCAAAAAAGAAACGTTGTTTGAAGGTAATTTATAAAATGTTCAAAAACTGAATAAGAATTTTGTTTTTATAAATAAGGTGATCAAAAAATAAACTGGATTGAGATTGACGAATCTAAACTGACTGTGAAAAAAACTCTGTCGACTGCAGAAACGAGTTGTTCGTTTATTGAAACTTGTCCAAAAAACAATAATTCTGTGTTAAACGTTGTTAAAAAAAAGAATATCAATTCATTAGATAAAAAAAATATTATCTGTCAGTCGATTAATGATAATGGAACCAAAAAGGGTTTGTACATTAATAACTAAATACATTATATAGTAAAAAATTTAACTACCTTAATGTTTGAAAGTGATACAAATATTTTACAGAGTCTTGCAAGCTTGACAGATTAAAAGCAACTGAACAAACAAATGGATTGGTTTCATTAGCTGATCAAAACATTTTAAACCCTGTAAGTGTCAATGAATCATCACAAACCAAATTAAAATTTACCAAAATATATCCCCCAACATCTTTGAATATAAATTTTCTTACTTTGGAAAACCCGTTAAAGGTAACCGATAGTTTCAACAGTCCGGTCGTTGAAAACCAGTCTTTAAACTTATTCAATGAAAAAATGGGAATATCTCGATATAAGCAACAATCAGGACTATTTTTGTCAACTGACAAAAAATTGCGCAAAAATAAAAATGGCAATTCAGCTGAATCTGACGATCCAATTTTAAAACGTAACAACAAAGAACAAAATATCAATGCCACAACAAATTATTCACAAAGTGCATTGATGGCCAACAAATTTATCTCAAATAATTTTAACGAGAAGCCGCCATTACCAAAAAGAAACTTTGACAGAAAAATTTGCATTAAAAATTTTTCGGAAAAACCAAATATCTTTGAACATTGTTGTGACACAGCATATGATTTTGATTGCAAAAATAAGGATGAATTTAACATGGCCAAACTGGAAAAGCTGCTTCTCATGAGAGGCAATATTAAATATGCTGATGATAATGAAGATCGAAAATGCGATGAATCCATTCCAGAATTACCAAAAAAATTAATTGCAAACATAAGAAGAAATGAAAACTTTGTAATTGAACAAGATCATCCGCAAAAGAATTGCAATGTGAATGTTGTTAACAAATCCGCAATTTTTAAAAACGTTACACTTGAAAACAATTCCAATTGTTTTTATGGCAAATCAACGCTTTCAAGTGATTACTGCAGCGAAGATACATACGATTATGATGATTATGTTTTTGGTCGCGAATAAAAATACCTCCGAGAGCTTCGATTCTCTTAACAACCTAATAAAAGTAAATTTGTAAGATCGCAAAATAGATGATCCTAAAAAACGTTTTGTATCTCAACAAGTTTAAATTATATAAGTTTATAAGTTAAAATCAGTAACTTCCATTTTAAAGGCTTAAAATTTAGTAATTTTGGTCACCGAGTTAGTTCAGCCGTTAGAGCATCCCGTCTCGCGGTGCTATTAGGCAATGACATAACTCGACAACAGTCTGTCCGAAATTTAAAGACCGTGTCAAAATTACTAGTTTTTCATAATTACTAGTTTTTCATAAAGTATTTATATGTATATATCGTCTTTATAATATATTATAGTATATATATATATATATATATATATATATATATATATATGCTGGTAAAAGACCACAATTAATGCGGTAATTTATGAAATATATCTATCTAACTATCCATGCTATCCACCGCTAGAAATTCTGTAGATTTTATATATTACTTCATATATATATATATATATGTATATATTTACAATATTCTATAAATTCTACCGAATGTTTGAACTACAAAATAATTTAGTGAGAAAAATTTAAAAAACGAACTACAAACATATAAACGCCAAACATTCGGTAGAATTTATATAGAATATTGTAAAAATATATATATATATATATTACTAAGTTTTTTCCTAATTCGTTGGAAACAATGGTCTCGAGGGCGTTCTTTGATGAAGATGATTTCATTTAACGATCTTTCATCAATCGAGTCACTTATCAATCGAGTCACTTATCAATCGAGTCACTTAACAATTTTACTGACGCTTTCATATTTTTAAAAAGTTCTTCTTTTCTTGATAACTCATTCAAGAGTAATGTTTTTATGTTTTTGATTTCTGCAGAAATAATCCGTGATTTAGTCTGGCATGTTAATGTAAATTTTGGTAACAGACTGTTGTTAACGCAACATTTCAAAAATTCAACACTAATTTCAACATTGTTCAACTTTTTTATATTTTTTTTTAATCTATTGATGTCAGAGAAATTAAACATTTTATTGTTTTTTAAAAATTTTTATTAAATAAATTTGCAAATAGCTATTTCGAGTTATAGATAACTCATCTTCAGTGCATTATATATAAGGTATCTAAGATATTTGATAAGAAGGAACAAGTAATTATTAATTTATATAAATTATTTAATTAAAACAGAAAACCAATAAAATAAATTTAATAACTGTAAACAATATAAAAAGCGATTTTTAAAATTTTAACGGCAAGATTGTTTATATTATGGTTGTTAAGGTAAATATCAACGCTCAGTCGAGAACCGCGAATTAATTTATTTAATTAACTACATATTATAAAATTATTTTTACAACATTTAAAAACGTTATTATTATTATTGTTAACGTTATTATTATTATTATCATCGCTGTGGTTCTTCTTGCTTCTTGTGATGATGTTCGATTTGCAAGTGATATTTGCGCTGTGGGTTGTGGCGTTGGTATTAGAGCCCTGCGCGGTTGGAATTTTTAAAAACCGCAACCGCACAAAACCGCTACATTTTAAACCGCAACCGCCCGCAACCGCCCGCAACCGCAGCGCCGAAAACCGCAACCACACCGCAACCGCAGCACCGAAAACCGTAACCGCACCACAACTATCTACATCCAAATCACTGTTACTCTTAATAAATAACATTTTGGCTTCACAATTGTTACAACAGATGAATGATGTAGCCACGTTTTTAAAATAAATTCTGCTAAAATTTTTCCAAATTTCACTTTTAGAATTTTCTTGCGCTTTTAAAGAAACGTTTTTGCTTTTGGACAGCATCAATTTAATCAAAAATTCTTTATCAATTACATCTACCTGTGGATCAACTTCAACATTTTTTACTTCAGACATTTTTATAAAATAATCGATAATTAACCACGCTGTAAATAAAATAACTACTTCTTTCAAAGTAAACAGAAAAAAGAAAGCCGTTGCTTCAACGGCTTCCAATGATATTAAGATTTTTCAAAGACATATAAAAATTATTACAATGATAATTCAATTTTTAAAATGTTATGATCGAACAAAAATATTTAACAAAATTTTTGCGGTCACCGCGGTTTTGATAAAAAAAACCGCGCCGCGGAAAAACTGCACATTTCAAAACCGCAACCGCGTAAAACCGCATTATTTATGCACCGCAACCGCAAAAAACCGCGGTTGCGGTGCGGTTTTTGCGGTTTAAACCGCGACAACCGCAAACCGCGCAGGGCTCTAGTTGGTATCTACAGTGTTGGCACTGTTGTTGATGTTGTTGTTGTTATTGTTGATGCTGTTGTTGATGTTGTTGATGTTGTTGTTGGTGTTGTTGATGTTGTTGTTAGGATTGTCACTAATGATGATGTTCCAATTGCAACTGATATTTGCGCTGTGGGTTGTAGCATTGGTATCTACAGTGTTGGCACTGTTGTTGTTGTTGTTGATGTTGTTGTTGATGTTGTTGATGTTGTTGTTAAGGTTGTCACTATTGGTATGATTGTTGTTTACATCATCAATATCGTTGGTGATAACATTGCTATAATTATTGCTGTTGTCGTAATTTTTGTTGTTATAATTATAATGATTGTTGTTTTTATTTAGTAGTCTATTTGAA